TGGGGCTGAGAGAGCTCTTTTGAGGACCGCTCTTGAGAGAACAGCTCTGAGAGAACTTGCGACTGATCCAAGGTCACGCCAGCAGCTGCATGTGAAGGAGTGGGGAATCAAACCCGGTTCTCCCAGATTAGAGTCCACTACACCAAACTAACAGGAGAAGAAGAAGAAGGTTTTTATAGCCCGCCTTTCACTACCCGAAGGAGTCTCAGAGCGGCTTACCATCTCCTTTCCCTTCCCCTCCCCACAACAGACACCCTGTGAGGTAGGTGGGGCTGAGAGAGCTCTTTCGAGGACTGCTCTTGAGAGAACAGCTCTGAGAGAACTTGTGACTGACCCAAGGTCACACCAGCAGCTGGATGTGGAGGAGTGGGGAATCAAACCCGGTTCTCCCAGATTAGAGTCTGCGCTCTTAACCACTACACCAAACTAGAAGAAGAAGAAGTCTTTTCTATCACACACTTCTCTACCCTAAGGAGTCTCAAAGAAGCTTACAATTTCCTTCCCTTCCTTACTGGTACTGTCTGTCTCGGGGGGGGGGCTCGAAGCAGAAGATGGAAGGTACCCACTTTGGCCACCTTCTTACCGCTACTCAGACCCGGCTTACTTTCACTCCCGCCTGCAGGCAGAAGTGGCACGGTCTGGAAACAGAGATTTCCCAACCCCTAGACAACTTGACAATCTTCAGGCAGGAGAGGTCAAGCTGGCACCGATCAGGCACCTCTGCCCCATCGACCCCTCTTCTCCCAGCTTCCTTCTAACAGGAGCCTGCCCGGCTGGATCCCCGAGGGGATACCAGCGGCCAGAGAGTCTCGTACCCGGCCCGAGAGCCTCCGTACGCTGGGGACAAGCTTAGAGGGCTCCGGTCTCTTTGCGAACAGACTAAAGCGGCCAGAGGTCAAAGATACTGGTGGGCTCAGCGTCGGGACGTTTTGGGAAGGACAACGTACAGGACTTGGGGGTCGGACAGGAAATGGAAGCTGCCACGGCGGCGACGTCTGTTCCAAAAGATCCGGAACCCGAGCTTTGGCGCGGAAGAGGCAACGGGAATCGTTGGCCCGCTTCGGGAAAGGGGAGGGGGAAGGGGTCCCCAGCTCTGGCCCGGCTGAGGAAGGGGGAGAGAGAATTGAGAGACCAAGGTTAGCTCATGTCCGTCTAAGGCACATGTGAAGCGAGGGGACCGAGGGAGGCTCCTCGCCGGAGTGTGGTGTTGAAACAGCAGCAGCGTTTCTTCGGGACCGAGACAGGAGTGTCCACCGGCGGCGTGCGTCCCTCCCTCCGGCGTGGAAACAGAGGGCGTGGGAGCCAGGCTCAGACGTACATGGCTCTGGACATGATGAAGGCCTTGTCGGTGGCCAGGCCCGCCACGGCTGCCTCTTCTTCCGTGGCGGCGAAGGAGAGGGCGTCGTAGATGGGGTTGACCTGATCCAGATAGCTGTCCCCCGGGCTGGGGGCAGCGTGGCCGACGGCCTCCCGCTCCTCCATAGTCGGCAGCTCGTGGTATCGGGGGGTCTCCTGCAGAGGGGACAAAAGGAAAGAAAAGGCACTGAGCCCCTGTTTCGTCTATCGGGCCCCTCAGCGTCTCTGTTTCTCCTCGCCCTTTGGAGACGTCCAGATTTGTGCTTCGCCAAGCATTGCGCTTGTGTGGAGAAGGGCAGTCAAGCCAGAGTCCGGCATACCTGAGGGACCGCCTTTCCCCATATGTTCCCCCAAGGGCACTACGGTCGGGGACTCAACATCTCCTGGTAATTCCAGGCCCCAAAGATACCGAACTTGCTGCAGCCGGGGCCTTTTCGGTGGCGGCTCCTACCTGGTGGAATGAGCTCCCGGAGGAGATCCGGACCCTGCAGGACCTTGCGCAGTTCCGCAGGGCCTGTAAGACGGAGCTCTTCCGCCAGGCTTTTGAGTAGGAGCTGCCACCACCACTGTACCATCACCGCACCACCACCACCACTTGGAGTGGGTACCATCGGGGAGCGAGATGGCCCTGCTGTCTGGAACTTACTTTGTTGTTCTGGGACCATCTTTACCAGAACCCCATCTTGCTATTAAGGACTTTTGGGACAACTAGAGCACCTGCACTTTATTGCACTGTATAAATGACGGTTTTATTCTGTTTTCAGTTGTATTAATCTTGGCATACGTGCCTCATCCGTTAGCCGCCCTGAGCCCGCTTCGGGGAGGGCGGGTTATAAATCGCAAAATAAAAATAAATAAAGGTTAGGAAACTCCTGGAGATTTTGGGGAGGGGGTGCGCCTTGCAATGCCCCCTCTACGCTGCGGAGTCCTGTGAGCAAAAATTCCTCTTAATGAGCTACGGGCATTCAAGTCGTGAGCGAGCGATTTGGCCGCTGCATCAGTCCGTTGGCTCCGGAGCCCTCCTCTCTGAGCTGAGACGGAAATGGGAGAGCCGGAGGCTAAAAAAACTGCGAGCGAGCTCACACTAACTCGGCTTAGAGGGAACACTGGCTGCCATGGGAGGGCAGAGTTTGAGGGAAGGTGCTCGGCAGGGACGTGATGCCACAGAGGCAGGGCATCGCCAACGCGGTGCCCAGGGATGCCATCGTGCCCACCACCACCAACGCCTTTCCTGACGCCCCATCAAGTCTTTTTAGATAATTGTGGGGTTTTTCGTATTTGTGTGCATGTGCGCTTGCGTGCCTGGGAGTCAGGGCTATTTTTGGGCAGGAAT